GTTTACACTCAGTATCACCACGAGTACGTATCCAGTGTCACTTACTTCACGCTCGTCCACCACTTTCATTACTTCGACTTCACGTGTCATGCTTAGAACCGATAATGGATATTTGTATTTGTTTTGTTTTTTTATTTCTTAAATGAAGGGGAAATAGTTGTAGTATTAAATACGTCTGAGCTATGGTTAACCGCAGACAGATTCGCTTTCTTCTTTTTCTTTCATTTCATTTGAGAATTACGTGTGTGTCTTTTATAACATGCTTGCATAGCACGAATCGCATAATGACCTGCCACAAGACAGACACTGTGGTTAACAGAAGCCTTATTTATACTGCTACCGCTAATATTCAGCAAACACACGCCACGGCGCCTCAATGTTTACATCATTTTGGGTGATCAAGTCAGTAATGTTGAAAGGGCTATTTTTTTTTAAAGTTAGTAAGAAAAAGTGAACATTGAGGATGGCGGAGTGATTTGTGATGTTTGTGCTGGTGGCATGGTTTTTAGGGGAAACCACACGGAAACCAAAACAAAACACCTACGCAATGGTGGTTATAAAACACACATAATGGTGTAATTGGAGATTGCATTAATCAGCGTGTTATACGTAACAATCTACTCTCGTGGTGATCCTAAATCACGTGATCTCACGACGTTGTGACCGGAGTCCATGATGAGTGTGTTCTATTTTTTTCCCACGCCCGTTATTATCTCCAGATTCTTTTCCCCTAACGTAACAGTAAGAACGACCATATAAACCAAACAGCAAACATCTGTATTCCAACTATTGCTTTATTCCGCTTTGATGCGTGATATAATCAAGTGGTGTTTTTTCATGAGATTCATCACAGTCTTCTGGTTCACCAGTCTCATTCATTTTTTTACATTTATGTTTCCTAATACACTTTACAATTTCTCATTTTATGATCTTTGAAAAATAAAATGAGACTCAGTCGTTGGTGGATGGCGGTATACTCCTGCCCGTATCCAATAACTTTAAGAATTTATCTAATTTCAAAAGTGAATAGGCTAAATAGCATACAACATTTCCGGAATACCCAATGGGTCGACTGTTGCGCCTGTTTATGTGACATTTGAATGAAGCATTTTTCCATCAATGTTTCTCCACAATACATATATAAACAAATCGTTTATTTCGATATCAATTCAACCAGAGCAATACGTAAATGCGTCAGAGTCAGAGTTTGGAGAATAAAAACATTAGTTGTATGATTTAAATATGGTATAGCCCCATTTGAGCAAATTGCCGCACTTATTCGTTCGACGCGATACAATTCAGCCGACTTCCATCCTCCCAAACAAAGCAAGAATGGTGCCATCTACCGCTTGATGATTTGGCAAGTCGACCAGTTTTTATCGATAACGCAAATGTTGATATCTGGAACTCTCAGTCGTATAAATGAATAACACCTTTTTTTGACTAGTTATGAAATCACACACACACTAACCTTACAGAGGGAAGAGAGCGGAATGCAATCTTCATCCTTTGACGGCACACTTGGTGAGATGTACTTCTTGCGATCGACAGGTACTCCGTTAACAGCAACGTACATAGACAGAACACAAACAGTTCTAATGATGAAGATTAAATTCACATCGGTTGCCATGGTTTTCATTCAATCAATCGGAACAACTCTTGTAAATCAGTACGTCGGAGAACACTGATTTTTGTGGAAAACAACGGTGTCCTCCAAGAACCATCCTGGTGAATGAAATCAGACCATTCGAAAGAGTGTCCGAAGTATCGGAACTGCCAAAGCTTTATAATAAATAAGCAGTTCTATGTAGATAGAGTAGAAGCACCGTGGAACGGAAACGTGGAGCGCACTTGTCCCACGTTACGAACACACGAAACCTGAGAAAACAGGAGAAGGCTTTGCATGCGTTGACCTTTCCACTCGACCTTTAGTTCAGACACATACCAAAAGATTGGCAAGTTGTAGAACCCTGGGTAGAGATGGGTATTCCGTTAAGCCAAGTGCTAGACTTTTATTGGATTATTGTGTCTGGGCAAACCTGGGATTCTCTTGAGCTATGGTTGGAGTGAGTCCAAACCCTATGAATAGGCACATTGATGCGGGGGTACATAACGTTTTTTTTTTTTTGTATTGCGAGCTGCGAGGCTGTAGGCATGTATTATAAGTAGTGACTTGTACTCGGATGTGTTCAATGTTTAAACGATTATGCTAGAGAACATGACAACACGTGCGGCTGCAAAGCTTGGGGGGCTAATATTGTTACGCCTGAGCAACTCATCGGTTTCGTCATATATACACAAAACGGATTTGATATTCGAAGACAGCCTGCAAAACGTCACTCGGTGATCTAAATACTAATAGTAGTATGCTTATTTTAACTAGCGCTATCGATATGTAGAATACTCGAATAATAACACTGTGAGAAGGCGAGATATTTCCAACGTCTGGATGATGAAATGGCGTAATGCCTTAAGGTTAAGTGCCACTAAAAGCATATAGTTTTGTGTTGCATTTTGCCGGTAGATACTATTATTAACAGTATGATGTAAATTCAGACTAAGTCATTATGAGCCAGCCGATTGCTATCAGTTTGTGAAATTGTCCAATTCATTGTCGCTGATTCATGCCTGCTATTGCTAAGGTGAATGATAGTACTAGTTTTGGAAAGTTGTTCTGTTTGTCTATTATGTGAAATATTTGCGCGTATTGTATAAAAAACGAAGATTCACAAAACGTGATTCGAGAGTCCACTAGCATTGGAATACTCATGACTCTTGGTCAAGATAATTCAAATACGCAATCAAACGATCGTTAAATAAATAAATAAATAAATAAATAAACAAATAAACAAATAAACAAATAAATAAATAAATAAATAAATAAATAAATAAATAAATAAATAAATAAATAAATAAATAAATAAATAAATAAATAAATAAATAAATAAATAATCAATCAACCAATCAATCAATCAATCAATTGTATTTACCATATCGCCTCTTACATATTTTATATGGACAATATAGTATTGCAGCAAAACAATTGGATTGTGCAAAATATTATGTTTGCAAGAACACACTATATTTGTTAGACGTAAAAATCAAAACCACCTTTACGCGCATGTGCATGTTATGGATTGTTATTGTACGTACCAAAGCAACCAGTACGCATGCGTGTTGGTAAATGTCATTGAAAGAAACCCCAGTGTGTTACAAGAACAACGTGTTCAGGTTAAGGTAATTCATAGTTCTATGTATTCATCGACAGAACACAATCAAATAAGAATGAGACTCATAGACTAAATCAGGAAAATATTCTTTGAATAAGTAGTTTTATGAAATGAAGAAGATGAGTAGTATATTATATTGAACTGACGATTTACGAACACTTGTAAACATATGCTGTACGGTCACACTCAGGCTGATTGGTAATCGATATAGGTCGATGTGAGTGAGTTAGTCCCAAGGAAATCGACAGTGAGAATGAATGAATGAATGAATGAATGAATGAATGAATGTATGAATGTGCACTTTGAATGAATGACAAAGGACGTTCCGGTGGCGACCTTAAGCTTTTCTCTGCCTTTCTCGCTTCATTGGTGGTTCACTGTATGTAATGAAATGCGACACTCGCAGAAACTAAGCAACGTACACGCTAACTTCTTAAATACCACGGAGGTCGTCTAAAGTATTCTGCGCATGCTCACCCCTGACCTATATTACATAGCTTAACAGTCGTCATGGTGATTTGTAATCACGCAACAATAACACAGTCTTAAAGCGCCAAGGTTGTAACAGTAGGGGTGAGTATTATCACAGTCCCACACATATACCCATGATATGTGATTACATCATTACCATTCCAGCATCACGTGATCCTCTGTCATCGATACATTTCACAAGTATTCAATTATTTATGCAAAGAACAAGAATGATAGGTTTCGTGGAATAGTTTTAATGTCACCATTTTTATTTCTTCTATTTCAGCCTCAAATCCGAGTCTGCTAAGTTTTGATTTCATTAATTTGAGGAGAATAACAGAGTTGTAAGTTTTTGGCATTTTTTTTATTGAAAGATTTTCCAGAACTGGTGTGAGCTCAAACATAAACAAATAATTTCATTTCAAAAGTCGGAGAAAACTAGCAATTCCCTATTTGAAATTCATCTAAAAGTGTTATAAATGAATGTACACTCACGTCACTGCTTTCATCATTACTCGTGTTGGATCGGGAGTTGATTCAGTTTAATAACAATATAATTATACTTGATATACAGTCTATGTCAAGTTTGAGTGCAACAGTTTCCAAATGTATGCACACAATATGTTCCATGCTCATTTCATATTTAAGTATAAAACAAATATGTTAAAAAACAAAACATATTTAATTGTGCAATTTCGATAACGTTTATGTTCACTAAAATTTACTACGCTAAGATATACGCACGTGTAGACTGAACAAAACGTAAAATATGTAAATTTACAAGTTTTTTAATTATTTCAAAACGAAAATGATTAAATTACCCCATCATGCTACACTCGTGAATAAATCCACGAGTTAATGTATACCGGAATATTAACGAGATTTACACGCATTGTTTGACAGTTACTATACAAGTTCATTAAAACCATCCTTTTAAAAACCTGTATGAGAAATACTTGTGTAACAATTTTCGAATCTGGCATAATTGTCATTATATGACGCTATGTCTCTTCGTAGGTCATGGCGCAACATGGGCGAGAGGAAGTGCGGTCATGTATCGTGAAAGCTACTGTTTAATGTAGAGAAATACTAGCTACTTTAAAGCGGCCCGGGGAAGGCCGTCACCTGCGCACGCGCGAGAATTGAGTCTCAAGCGATGATAACAACACACGCTAAAAACGCAAAGAATCATGGGTAGGCGCTTGTTTGTAAACAATGACACACTATGGCCATCTGACGCATGCGCAGGCGACGACACCCCCGCTTTAAGAATAAAGGAATACGACATGAACACCTGTCACAGGAATACAAATTTTGCTTTAATAAATGAATGAACATATATCGTATATGTGAAAAAAAACAAAACAATATATTTAACTGTTTACATATATCACAATTTGAATATTCTAATTATTTTCAAGAGACACGAAAGTTCATGTCAGTGGTCTATGCACACAGTGTGTGATGATCGTTTTTTATATCAATGCGAGTCTGACCTGTTATTTACCGTTCTACAAATTTTCCACTAAAACAATTATTCCTGGATAATAAAATGACAATATGGATAACTGGTGATTTTTTTAAACATTGTTGTTCGATATCATATACTGGTATACATGCATTACCATGATTTATTATACAGAAAAAAAAACTGGTGTTGTGGCACAACGCATTAGTAATACCAATTAAAGAAACTGTAATTTAGTACGTGACAAAACAACGTTTGTATTTAGTGTTCGAATTACCAACATGTACAATCGTCAATTCAACGCAATGTCTTTAAAAGACTGATACCAGAAGCGAGAATGAAACTCATTATCGTAAAGAAATGTAAGTTTCCGTGTGTCTTGTAAATAACATTATGATATTGAAATAAACATGAATCAAAGTATGATAACAACATTCTGATTATAGCGCCACAGTCGTCACATTGTGGGTCCCATGCGACCCATACAACGCATATAAAATACTTTTTTTTACATATGACGACTGTACGGCATATTAATATGTTAGTTAGTCCCTGTTTCATTCGTATTCGCTGCTACGTCAAATGTTATCTTGTGTTGTGGTGCTATAAAAAGGGTTGTCTAAACCGTGAATGTTTTCCCCGTCATCTCTGCTGAAATAAACTGGTTTATCCATCTCTACCGGAATATCGTCCGGTTTGTAAATTGCAGACGAACCTCGGCGGTGCCTGCAACGAAACAACACGTACACGATGCTATCATATTATGTCACATTAATATGGTAAACAATTGTAATAAAACAACGTATGGAACGTACGGATACGTCTACAAATGTATTTAATGCGAAAGACAACGCTACACAAAAGTACAAATATTGACATCTTTTTATAGTTTTTACATATTTGATATTTCATCATGTACTCGGTTTGAAGAAAATCGATCAATTTTATACAGGAAAAATAACATGTCTGTTTTAAGGCATTTCAATATCTCAAAATTGTGCTCAGTGACACGTGGTAAAAAGGATATATAGTGTCCAACAAGATACTTTTTGGTGTTTAGAACAAATATTTTAATGTTAAAGGGGTTTTAATTAGGAGATGTGCTTTTTTCCCCCCAAGAATCACTGTCAAAATGACATTTTCTGCATAATATTAGCTGTAGACAGATTTTGACATTGTCTTTGCTATATAAGGGCTAACATATGCACTCACGAGTAGCATTCATTAAGCTGATAACATACGTGTCATCTCGCATCATCCGTCTAAACACATAATATGCATTAATCAATAGCGCCACCTACCTACAGTACAGGAAACCAACCACACCAATAACCACAATTAAAAGGACGATAAATCCAACAATGCCACCAATCATTGGCCCAGTATTCGATTTATCTCCTTTGTTTTTCTGCTTCTCGCCTTGCGACGGCATTTTGGTGGTTTTCAAGGTTGTTGTTTTTATTGTTGCCGTCGTGGGTTTGACTGTTGTTGGTACTGTAACAAATAACAATAACAACGGAAAGTAAAAAAAAAATGGAATAATGTTCTGAGGCATCGCGATACTAGCTGCAGCCTGGGTTAACACGTCATAAGATCATATCTGATCACTGTACTACACTGTACGTCTTTGATAGAAGTTAATTTGACCAGGGAACATTATGGAGATATGCAAAGCAAATATTGCCTTGAAAAGAAAAAAAAAATCTGTTATAATTACAATCAGTACTAAGACAGTACCCATGGTGTCATAATCTAAGAACAAATGAGTACATGAGAAGTGATGGGACGTGTAACATTTTCAATTGGCTCTACGTGAATTAGTACTTTACGTAAGATAGAACCAACATCTGAAATGTTTCGGAATTGAAAGCACTATCCCACCAGCAGCCAACATAATATTATAATTAACTGCTACACTAGCCTCACAATGTGACGTCAAACTTTAGATGTCATTATTACTACTGAATAATTGATTGTTTACTATTCTCGCCTTGCTGCAATTCGATGCAGTAAGTATAGACAGTGTTTATCATCGGGCAAATTATATTACAAAACTGTTGGCAACTTGTGGATGTATGTCCACATCGTTCAATTGTAATCATATGGGTTCTTCTGGCTTGGTCAGACTCTACACAACCACGGGACTATACTGTATTAATTGTGTTACCATGAATGACATATATAGTCGTTTCTTTGATAACAAATGACAAATGCTATTGGTGCATGCTCTCAGACTTACAAAACCCAGGCTGTCCAACAAACTCCCAGACAATTGAAGGAACATTAAGCATGAGTCAGTAGAACATCACTTGAAAGGATGAAGAAAATAAATAGTATAGCTCGGTTTATTGGAGATAATCTAGAATCAACCACTTGTACTTTAGGTTGCAGTCTTGGGCGGACTTTCAAATAAATGATGCTTCATTTCTGATCTCGCAGCGTCTTATTCGTGTTTATATATGTACCTGGGTTGTGGTTGGCTATTGTGCAGCAACGAGAACATATGATACATTATTACGACTCTGACGAGTGACATTAGTAATTGGAACTAGTCATAGAAATAATGAGTAACTAGTCATGTTATGCACAGTCAGCCGGGATATTTGAAACCGAAATTGTCATCTAAGCGTTAGGCCGTCGTTGATTGGCTGCTGAGCTGGAATGCCAATTTTAAGTTTTAAATACCCCCAGGAAAGTGTTCTAGGTTCTTCGCGTAAGTAGGTGTTCGTATGCAAGGGATTTTTCCACACAAAAACGACGAATTAGGCCGAATTTTGTTATCGGTTGGCTTAATATGACCCCAACGGTCCGTATTTTTGTGAAAGATTGGTATTTTTGTCCTGATTTGTAGGAATCTGAAAAAACAGCTGACTGTGATGTTATGCTAGATCAAAAGAGCTCCTCACTTTCGATACCAGCAGCGCCAGAAATAATTCATGGGAATTTGCCTCAAGTGCGACAAGGGTGTTTAGTACATGTCTGTGCGAAGGGCAAGTTTCCGAAAATTTACAGTGTGAAACCAAAGATCCCCGGATTAACCGTACCTGGCAGAAACGGCATATAGCCTCTCAACTTAAGAATTAACAGGAACATGCAACTACGAAGTATCGTCTGAAATGCGATAAACTGGTGTTAGGTCATTGGCTGTCCTAGTGTGTACAATTGGAAAGCGGATACATATTACATCATCAAAACTACTGCAGCAGTTGTGCAAGTGCCTGATCTTTCTAGTGTACCTGAACAGACTATGTCGCCTTATTAAACCATTAAATAGAATTGCCTGAATGGGTTACAGTCTTCAGGATAGTAGTTAATAATATAACATGTGTCGTACCCGTATTTTTGCCTTCTAGGTTATGTACACTGCCCAAAATGATATTTGCTGAAACACTCTCACAGACAGTAGTTAATACTTACTAAGTTCACACAATTTATCGATATCGAGGTTCCATCCTGTACCATGAAAACACGTGACTCGATTGCCCCGCACTGCTCTGAAACCGACATCACACGTGAAGTTGCAACTCTTTCCTACGTTGGCATCACAGCGGTAATCAAATCTACCATTGGGTAGATTTAGCTGGCATTTTTCATCTATATAATGGTAAAGATGAAACGGAAATGGCATTACCTCGCTTCAGGACAGTCACATTGACATTGATGTCCCACATTGAGACACACGACAAAGACATATACGTGTGAATACACCATTTCTTTGAAATTGTTATATGTGATGTTAAAATTGATATACGTTAATTTGTGAAAAAAATGTATCATTCTTAGTCACCTGATGGCAAACATGAACTCATTTATAGTGTGGAGATGGCAGATTAAAAATTGTCACAATATAGGAAAGAAATGTATTAACTCCATATTGGAATTTGCAAAGAAGTGTGGGACGGAAAATTAATCTGTACAGGGCGTTTTTTTTTGGGGGGGGGCTTTAAAAATATCTTCAAAACAATCTTTTCAGTAAAATTAATGGAAAGTCCAGTATAACCAACATTTAAAAAAAAATATCTGAAATTGAAAACAGGAGTGATAAACAGCCGATTTTAACCTCAGACGAGTATTGCTAGTCTGAGTTTTAACATAGGGCTCAATGGAAAAGCTGCAAGTTCTTCCCCAAACGCCCGCTAAAGCTCAATTTTCAATCCCACAATCATTTGCAGAATCCAATATTAATGGAGTTAACACATTTCTTCCCTATAAAGATAGGATACCACTACAATTGTATGTATATAAAATCACCGCGCGCTTGTATTCGTGTCGGGACTAAACAATAGACGGGAACAATACGCACTATTAACAATAAACAGTTCTTACCTGTTTGGCATTCGTTATTGCTCGCATCGCATATGCAGTCAGCCACCCCATAATACGGTGCACAAATACCATGATCTCTACCACAAGGCTCGCCAACAAAGCATGGATTCACCTCTGTCAAAGTAGAAACAAAACTATATTTAAATATCAATATGCAAATTCATTGAATGTGCATTTATTATTGGTCGACATGAGCAATCGATCCTGTGCTAATTAGAATACTGATAAATGAATACTTGGACCGCCTGCTGACGTTTAGTGTCGTTGCACCGTAACGAATTTTATGAACGCAAAATTAGAAAGCCGATAGGCAACGACAGGAAGACTCACCACCACTCTTTGGTTGCAGTCGGTCGTCAAATACTTTAATAGCACGTGGCCAACCAGTTATAGCAACGCTTGTTTTGGGTTGTTCTAGCTCAAGATCGTAAAATTCCAAAGACTCACTTCCTTCGTATGACCAGACGATAAAATCCTGCGCAGTTGAAAAATACATGTTATAATGCTATGCTGCTCGTCACAATCCACATCATTCATATATACGCGACATTTCTTACAGATATGCGCTTGGTCAATACGGGCCTGGCGTTTCAATATTTATTGCATTTTTAGTAACATACTGTACAAAATAGTTCATAAACCTCTAACCTGTAGCGTACTTATACCAACAAATGAACGAGCAAATGAACTACCATCATCCAAAGTGACTCGATCTTCACCAGAGAACGTCACGCTCTCTATTTTTCCCGTTCCACTATCTGCCCAATATAACCTGTATAATAACAGAGGCACGAATTTTGAGAAAAAGAAATCGGCAGTGGCCGGCAGCACACGCAAATATTAAATACAAGACAATTATACTAATCAATTAATCGAGAAAAAAACCCGTTCAACAAATTTCTGGAGTACAATAATATATTTATTATATTGTAAGCCCACTGTAACTGAGAGTACGACGCACTGTGTAACCACTCTCGAAACACGATAATCGTTTAATTGGCAAATTAAAGCGTATAGCACTGTAAATCGAGGATGGAAAACAATGAATATATATCACCTCTCATACACATAGTCTGTTGTCATGGCAGCAGGCAGCAGAATGTCATCAGTAATAATCTTCAGGCGATCTCTTCCAGATAGGCTTGCCCGTTCGATGCAAGGCCGCTCCCCACCGGCTCCCCAGAATATGAATCTAGAAAAAAACAGAAGAGATGATTTATAATGGTGACTAATATTATGAGATTATTCCTTGGAAGGAAAAGATGTATAATAATAATAATAATAAGGTTATTACGAGAATACCACAAAGTATGCACCCAGACAGTACGCCGCGCTTCCGAGTCGACCTCAGCTGCGCGTCGGTCAATACTCCAACTCTACTGTCTTCGAGCATACTTATTGAGCTATCCTCGTAATAACCTTATACATCTCTTCCTTCCAATGATACACCATTGAAATACCGAAATCCAAACTCAAAGAAGATAGTATTTCCTGTAAAATGAAAATCCCTTGTTTTTCAGACTTCTCAGATGGAAGCAAAATTTTCCAAAAAAAACAATTTAGACGATGATTTCAAAACATGATGCGTAACAGTAAAATAGAGTACCGAAATCTATGGTTCGGTAGACAATTGTCACCCCACTTCAATCCAGTATGTATAGTTTCAGTTTTATTTTACGAAAGGTTATCATGAATTATACTGTGTATCGAGTAATGGCGATCTCGGACAAAATGAAATAAACAAACGCGCATTTTAAAGTAGCGCACTAAAATTATTCTTCCTGTATAGACATATTTATTATAACTATATATATCGAGCCAAGTACCCACAATTCAATTAAAGTTGAAAAGAGTTAATTATTCTATTTAAAAAAAGGGAGTAAACATTATAACGGAAATACATCTGTCGCGCTGCTGCAGGTGTCATTGGAAAATTTGACACAATGCAGACATTTTAATTCGTCATCAGTATACCCGTTTGACCTTTAACCCTTTGACAATTTTAGTCACCTCTCGTAAAATAAATCTGCTTACATGTTTCCGTATTTATTCAAACAAAAAATAATCGGAAATCGTGTCTACTTAGTACTACATTATGAAAGAAATTAAAGAAATAGGCATACAAAATGGACAAATGTTTGGCTGGAAATAATTATGGCGTTCAAACCCAACTCAAGTAACTAAGAATAAGTTATTGAGCATCGTACTATATGAAACAGTTCGTGATTCGACTATGGGATTACTGGAAAAAAAAACTTGAATCGTCAACGCAGTTTACCGGTATTATGCTCTTGTTAGATGCCATTTTGAACCCGGATGTTGTAATGGTGATCAAACGGTATGTATTTACTTACTCCTTTTTAGGGTGTACAACGATAGACTGTGGATTTATGACATCTTGGTTTAGAAGAACTGCCTTGTAAACGTTGTCCAGACTTGATATCCGTATTTCATTCTCCTGTCCTAGAGTCCAATACATATTGGATGAGAACCAATCAATAGCAATACCTATTGTTGGAACAAACGCAAACTAATTATCTTGTTTGTCAGCGTACGAATATTGTACTTATAGCCTTCTAATCGGACTATGTACACCTGATTAGCATATTGGGACATGGGTTGTGTATGTTGCAAATCGCGCGTAATTTGAATTGAAACAAAATAATATAATGAAAAAAAAAACACGATGCGACATTATTTTCGTAAAAAAATCGCAAAGAAAATCGGCAATAGGAAATAAACTGTGAACTCAATCAGTCAATTCGCATTATGTTTGAAAATATTCAGTCTGTAGACATGGTGAAATATCAGTCAAGACCGGCGAGCGCCTCTTTAAATCTGATAAGCCCATGTCGAATGACAAAAACTCCATTATCGCAACAATCAATTGTAATATGCATACTAGTATTTGGTGCAAAAAATCGTAACATCCAGAAAACGGGCGAATTGGAACGGCGGTCATTACATCGTAGTGCGACATTGCACAAAGTCAATACAAAATCGCTAGGCAACAATATTGAAATAAATGTGCACAAACCTGTGACGTCTCCGGCACCGGGTATTACTGTTTCGAAGGGTTCGCCCTGACGCAGACGAACTCGCTTAATAGCATTATCTGCCGGTTCATATACGTATAGAGTCTCTTCTCGAAAGTTGTAATCCAGTGACGTCACTTCAATATTATCAAAATAACACTTGGTGACATCGGTGACGTCAATAATGTCAGATATGTGTGTTGGTGCTGAACATATACTAGAATTGGTAGCAAAGATAATCTGGTGTCCTGGCATTACGTGGTCATCTGGAAATCAACACGCATATTATTAGGCATTATTGTAACTAAAATAATACGAGTTATTTATAAACATCCAATTACAGAAGTAACCATAGTAACCATAGTGATATATTATGGGTGGTGAAGAGATTATGATTCTAAAAAAATTATGGAACTTTGGTGCACATTGTATAAAATGAAGCTGACTTTTGTTACCGATAGGAGTTGTTAGTTCAACGTATGTTGTGTTATATTATCTGACTAATCAAAAAGGGACCACTTCCGAGTCGTTCACACGCACACTCCTTTGCGTTATTATTCAGCGATTTTCCGTTTTATTAAGATCTTAATCGTCGAACATCCCCCTAGTTGCATATACTCATAGATTACCCAAAGTTTGATGGCCTGCATTTTACTGTATTACAATTACACAATAAATGTAAACACAATATTCGGTCATACTGCTTCGCGGCCCATAATGCGATATTAATATGAGTCGCGCCCTCAGCGATGAAACTCTTTCACGAATGCCGTTTAAAACGTCGATATATATAATTTTAATCAATAGTCATTCATATGGAATTATGCTACGCTACATATGGAAATGGTGCATTGCATAGGAACACTGTGACGCACAAAACATTTCTTGTTTGTGATCCGTGTTCTGAATAATTTAAAACATAAGATGACATCGACAACAATTGCAGTTTACCTGGTACACATTTTCCATTTGGTGCAGCTATAAAATCGTAGGTACAGAGACATTGATGACCCCCATTACTGCTAACGCACAGTTGATCACATCCGCCGTTGTCAACACCACATGCATCTGTAATCAGAAAAAAAAATAAGAGGCGACATACTCTACGACAGCATAATTCATACCGATGCCAAGATAAGTAAATTCACACGATTCACTTTAAGCGACTATTTCGTATTATAGTATTATTTTGACCAAATTGACCGGCCTACTAGTCACTAATAGATTGTACATACATATTTGGCATGTTGTAATTAAAACGTCGCGTCATATTCGATATGGGTCATATGCAGCGTGTACAACGCATGTAAATTCCACGTAGATATGAACATGTACACAGAGATGACTAATAAGTAGTTAACATACTTTCATGTCGTGGTTGGCGACTTTCGTGGTAGTATTTAATACCCAATGGGGTGTCAGGAAGGGTAAAATATTTCGCAGCATACTCGACAGTGGCGTCCGTCCTAGGAATTACTATAATTTCACTGAACCAGTATTCGCTGACAAAAAAATAATCCTGTGAATAAAACAAATATATTATCATTTGTACTAGAAGGAATTAGTCCGCGAGTGAAGTATTTGGATGACAATTTGTTATCAGAATACTCAAGAGTGGTAGGAATAAATGGGTGTATGCGTACAAGGACAAATGTGCGTCGCATGATGATTTGGTTTTGTGTGTGGAGTGACTGGGGTTGGGGAAGGGGCTGATCATTGCCACTAAGTATCAAATTGTACTATATGACGAGTCACAACAGGGGTACATAAACAAATGGAAAAAAATTACACATCGGCAGGTTTCCCGGTGACAAATCGTTGCGTTCACAGCAAAAAACTAGTTGTTATTAATTCCTCACCTTATTTAGGTCTATAAAGAATGGATAATAAAGTCCACCCTCTTCGTATTCTACCCGAACCTGCTGCTGAGTCGAGCCGAGCAGACCGATTGACAGAATTGCCTCCCTTGCCATGTCCGTCCAGTACAACCTGAATACGAATAAGAATAGCATATAGACGACTGAACGGTATATTTTTGGATATTAAAGCGGGA